TTCTGAGGAGTGGCTGGTGGGTTTGAACCTCCAGCCTTCTGGTTAGCAGTCAAATGCCTTAGGCACTACACCACCAGGCCATATCAGTGCAGGGTGAGTCCTCAACCTCATCACCTCTGAAGTGAATAGCAGGGAAGACATCTGATGTCATGTGAAGCCCACAAGCAACCAAAGAACACCAGGGCTACAGAACTGGAGACGTGCTCCTCCCCCAGGGCCACACAGAGCGAGCCTTCTCCCATAGCCAGTACTCAGACTTTCAGCTCCAGAACTGGGAGCAAATAACTTTCTGTTCTTTCAAGTGCCCACTTGTGGTATTTCTGTTAAAGCAGCATGAAGAAACGGAGGCATAGCTCAGTTACAGATGAGAAGAAAAGATTTTACTCTGCCTTCTCTTATTCCTTCTCCAGTGATCTTCTTTTCTGTACCTACATCTGAGTTCTGACCTGTGTTCCTGTCCTTCTCTCTGAATAATTCCTTTTAACATTTCTTTCAGGGCAAGTTTACTGGTGAAGAGTCTCCCTGCTTTCTGTTTGTCCAAGAAAGTCTTTATTTTCCGTGTGCTTTTGACAGATCATTTGGAGGATATAAGACTCCAGAATGTTGGGGTTATTGCTTTCAACCCTAAATATTTCACTACGCTCTCCTTTGCTCGCTTGATTTATGACAAGATGTCTGATACAATTCTTCTCCTTCTTCCTCTAGAAGTAAGGTGGTTTGGTTTTGGTTTTTTTGTTTTGTTTTGTTTTTCAGGTTTGGTTTGGTTTGGTTTTCCTTGCTCTGGCTTCTTTTGAGATTTTCTCTTGTCTTTGGTTTTCTGCAGTTTGAATATGATAGGTCTTAAACCCAAAAACCAAACCCACTGCCATTGAATCAGATCTGATTCATAGCTACTCGTCCTTGGGTTTCCAAGGCAGTATCACTATAGAAGTAGATTGCCCAACCTTCTTTCTGAGGAGTGGCTTGGTGTAGTGTGTGTGTGTGTGTGTGTGTGTGTATCCTGCTTAGTGTTCTCTGTGTTCTTTGAACTTTGTGGATTTATAGTTTGGTGCCATTAATTTGGGAAATTTTTCCTCCATTATTACTTCAGTTATTTCTTCTGCTCCCTTCATTATTCTCCTTCTGGTATTCCCATTGTGACTATATTACACCCTTGGTATCTCTGAACCTCTGACTCTCTCTCCAACATCTCTAAACACCTGATCCCCCCAATATCTCTGAATGCCTAACACCACACACACACACTGACATCTCTGAACTTGTAATTCCCCATCACACAGACCTTATGCTCGCTCATATCCCCACCTTGGCAAGTGGTGCCACTATCCCAGAAACCTGGGAGTCATTCCTGCCACCCCATCCTGGTTTCCTATGGCCGCCATGACAAACACCATGGGTTGGTGGCTTTAAAGAGCAGAAACTTGTTGTCTCGTAGTTCTGGAGGTTGGACATCAGGGCGCTGGCAGGGCTATGCTTTCACTCTGCCCACTCCAGTGAAAGCTTCCCCTTGTCTCCTTCCGCTTCTCTAGCCCAGTGTGTTTCTTGCCATCGTTTGTATTATAGAGGGATCCCCACATGCTGTCTGCCCCTGCGTGTGAGTCTGTTTCTGTCCTTCTCTTTTATAAGAAACCCTTCAGAAGGGATTAGGACTAGGACCCACCCAACTGTGTTATGAGTTTCTTAATTTGACAGCTACAAAGAAAAAACCCTATTTTCCGAAACAAGGTGACTGACATTCACCATGCAGAGGTTAGGACTTCAACATATATTTTGGAGACAAAGAATTGAGTACTGAGTGTTCCTGAATCTGAATAATAACCTGCTACTTCCCTAATAAACCCCGTAATTGTGTTTGGGGAAAAAACAAACAAAAAACCAAACTCACTGCCATCGAGTCAATTCGACTCATAGCAACCCCTCCTTGGGTTTCTGAGGCCATATCTCTACAGAAGTAGATAGCCCAGGAAGGGAGCTGCAGGAACTCACGTGGATGAAAAGGGGTCGGCATCAGCCAGCACTCTGTACTGGCCAGAGGGTGCACAAAACCATGAGAGGTGATGGGTGTGAGAGAGTGGGGACCAGAGGGGCCTGGGTTTGGGGAGGAGAACAGGAGCTCCAGACTAGGTGGGGCGGAGACCAGCCCTGGCCAGTAGCCTAAGGCCCAGCCAGGGAGTGACCAGCCAGGGCGTAGTGATGAATCATCACTCTGACTCACTTTGCTGAGCCCAGAGAAGGGCCTGACATCCAGGGTACAATGGATTTGTGTCTTCCAACACCAGCACTCACAGGTTGATTGACAGCAGTCAATCAGAGACCCATACACTCAGATCTCTGCATCTCAAGCTC